ACCTGAGATTTTGATTTTCTTCACAGTCTTGTTGGTTTCATTGTTGATTTTCACTTTAACGGTTATTGGATCTCCATGGTAATAAACCTGGAAAAGAATGATTTTAAAACACAGTTTAGCAATTATTATGTAATATTTATAATGGTGAAAAATGCATTGTTGCATGGTATATTTTCAAGTACCTCTTTTTCAAGGGAAGCCTCCAAGTGCACTGGTTTGTCACTCATCATAAACTGCTTGGATAGCTCAGCCTTGGCTCCGGCCTTGTTGTTAGCTGGGGCGAACTGTATTTTACGAATCATCAGACGACAAGTATCCCTAGAAGGAAATAAAAGGGAAGAGAATAACCCATGGGTGGCCTTCATACGCAGCTCAAAGACTGAAAGGTTTAAAATGACGCTGCACAAACATACTTTTTTGTAATGACTTCATCTGGATTGTCAGGTGCGTTGGCAATGTATGCTTTGATCTCAAAGTCCACACCGCAAGCCTACAACAAGGCAAAATCCAGATAAATTAATTTTTCCAAACATTTAACACAATGTGTAAGACTTAAAGAAAGCAAATAATAACGCTAGATGGTAACTGTACCTTGCCGGAATCATTTGGCCCAGGCTGTAAGGAAACCGAGCATGGAAGATCTGGTGGCATCTGGAAGAAGAAGAAGAAATGAGTCACATACATGAACGTTACGCTTTAAAATGATTTTCAAATAAAAGCGGGGATATGATCTAAGGTTAATCAAAATACCTTGCATTGAAAATAATTTATTTGTTGTTACGCAAAGAGGGAGATTAAGGGTTTGGACCTGGAAGGAAAAGGTGTGCCCCTGCTCTCCAACTTTCTTCAAGAGGGATTCCGTCATTGGGGATTTCGCTTCGCTGCCACCCGTAGGTGGATACACCTGAACGCGACGTAGCCAGATGTCCCTTCTGAAGGACAGTCCGATGACATCCAAGTCATCACTTCCATAGCGGAAGGCACAAGCAAGATAGACATACACTGCAGTGGAAAAACGTGTTGTTTCAGTCTGTGTCAGTAAATCATCGCTTATAACTTTTATGATTTGCAGACTATAAAGCAAAGTACCTTTTCTGTCGTCAAGACCAGAAGGATCCACTTTAACTACCCCTTCTGCAAATATGAGAAGAGTCAATCCACAGCCTTAGATCTTTCACAGAGATTCTTATATTTTCATATATTCACATATATCAGGATGCAGTTTTGCCACGCACCAACTATTTCTACTGAATCCACACTGTCCACAAAGTCCCTTTTCCCCAAGTACAAGGCAATCTATATGAAATGAAGAAAAAGGAAAACGGTTACTCCTCCACAAGATTAAAAAAAATGTGGACGCTATTTCGGGAAGTTGGAATAGCAACATAGAAATTGCACTCCTCCCTGTGCTCAAGGGGTGCCCTGTAATGATTATATTGTAGAAGCCACTTACAGTTCCATTCCCACTGGTCTTCTTAAATACTCTGGAAATGAAAGAAGAAAAGAATCTGAATCTGAAGAGTATTTGAACCTGAAAGTCCTAAAAAAGGCCCTAAAACACATGCAGGCAAAAACACAAGATGTTAAGTTTAAATGAGCAGTGACTCATAATTTCATTGTTTTTGCTTGATTATAAATAATGAGCTCTTTCCCCCTATAAGTTGTCTTCTATAACATATTTGTGCACTTACAACTTTTCTAGTTTTTGTCCTGGATAACCTCCCACTTGCCATCAACTCCCTTGCTCCTCTCCTGTGAGGATGGATTAGTGCTTAAAGTCGAATTGAACCTGCTGCTGCAAATGTCTAATCTGAACATAAGTTGAGTAAACAAAGTTAAACATCATATAAAATATGAAAATGACATATTTGGATCAATACTGGGTTAGGCAGGCTATTTTATGAAATAGCTGTTTATGCTACAAAACAAAAAGTAGTGGCAGAATTGGCAAATTTAACAC